CACACTTGACTCTACCACACTTGACTCTACGACACTTGACTCTACGACACTTGACTTTACCACACTTGACTCTACGACACTCTCTTTAGACTCTCTATAGACTCTCTATAGCCGACACTCATGGCCCCAAAACTCATGGCTAATGATGCTTTCGGGCCACTCGTCTTCTAGTTTTCATGAGGTTGCAGGGTTGGCAGCATTGTTTTCGAGGTACTCATGGAGCCTCGTGAGGTTTCAAGAACTCTAAACCCTAAACCCTAAACCCTAGACCCTAAACCCTAAACCCTAAACCCCTGATCTTGGGATCGGATGTGTAGCACAGTGGTGAGTCTGACGCGGGCTTTTCAGGCGTCTGCCAGCACGGTTTAGGGTTTAGGGTTTAGGGTTTATGATTTAAGGTATCGTGGTGTATGTATGTGGGTAGTTCTCTAAATTAGGGTCCCGTTTTAGGTCCCCAATATAGTACGGCGCCCTTATAAAAAGGACCCTAAAAGGGACCCTAATTTAGAAAACTACCCATGTGGAGAGTGGTGACTTGGATGAGTGGTTGTAATGACTGCCCGGTCCAGTGCCTCAGCCAACATTTACCTGCGCTTGCTTTGTGGACGACAAGGGTGTCAAAACCCCAGGCCTAGACCTTAAACTTCCTAAGCCCCAAACCCAGAAGGTTCTTGTGAAGTGGTGCAAACATTGATGGCAGGGCGTTCGGGTCCGGGGTTTAGAGTCTGCGGATCTGGAATTACAAAGGTCTGAATCACAAGTATGATGAGTAATAGCATCCTCTTGTAGTCCTTGGTCAAGTGCAATTCGCCAGTTCTTTTTTCATTATTTGGGTTTCGCACTGTCGAGCTCGGAGTCTTCGGGTTCACACACGGTATAGGGTTTAGGGTTTAGGGTTTCACATGGGGCCGCAGTCCTTGGTTGTAAGTGTTATCCGAGTCTGTGGGGGTGTAGGGTTCTACCAGGCTACCTGGGCCTTGTGCAGCAGTCGTTTGCGGACGGCGCCAGCAAAGGGTCGTAGAGCATCCCAGCAACACAGGTAACACAGGTAATACTCAAGGCTATATACACACCCCTTGAAACCCTAAACCCTAAACCCTAAACCCTAAACCCTAAACCCTAACCCCCATACATGCCCACCGCAGCCACCGGAATCCTGAGCCCCAAAGGGCCATCGAAGCAGCCATCAACTGTCCAGGCTCCTCACGAAAGCCCAACGGGCGCGCTCCTTGCCTAAGGCGCCGACAGACAAGGAGGGATCAAAAGAGGAAGAGCCCTGAAGAGCTGTCGGGTTAGGGTCATTCTTGCTCGTGTGATTCTGATAAATCAGCAGCAACAGGTAGCAGCAGCAGCAGCAGCAGCAGCAGTCGCCCTAGTGGTAAGATTCTACAGATTCCAGCAATATCATTGTGGAACAATCCTGAAACTCTTCTGAGTAATTACTGTTGTTGACTAGTAAGACCGAGAGTAAGCCTTTTGCGCGACTGTTCCAACTCCAACCCACAACCCGAAACCCTTCCCCAAAGCCTTTAAAGGACAAAATGCGCTTGAAATCACGATGAAGTCCATGATCGTTACGCTAAGCCCCACACCGTAAACCGGAAAAAGCCCTTGATTTTTGGTTAGTACAGAAGCGTGAATATCCTTTATGTAATTATGCTATAATATTTAATGGCTGCCGCCAATGCCGCCGACCCCGAATGGACACCCGGCCCGGCCCAGCCCAGCCCAGCCCAGCCCATACGGTTGGGTAGAATTGTTGGAGCATTCGTTATCGGACAAGTGAGCGCACCGCGGTGGGACCGAGTGGGGCTGGGTGGGGCTGGGTGGGATTGGGGAGGGGTTGGGCACTCATTGCGGTTCAATTAAATAAATTGAAATGATTAGAAAGCAGTGACCAGCCCTGCCCAGCCCAGCCCAGCCCAGCCCAGCCCAGCCCGGGCCGGGCCGGGCCGGCCCGGCCCGG